TGGTCCCGCCGAAGCTCGGTATCGACTGTGACATTCACAACTGGCGGATCCAGGAAGCGGTCTTTGACACTGCGGGGGCTTATCCCAAAAAGGTTTCTCCGAATTAATTTAAAAAAAAACTCGGATTTCGATGCCTTGCGCACTGCTGTGCAGTGTGATTAACCAACATCTCCTCAGAAAAGTTGTGAAGTTTTCTTTTATTCTCGAAAAGCGATTTCAGGCGCTGCCCCAGTTGTGAGGGAAGACGTTTGCCCCAAATGCTTTCCCCTGGATCCGCCAGTGGGTTGCCGAGCTTTACTAAATAGGTCTTCAAACCCCACCAGAAACCGATGGTGAGGTGAATTTAATTTAATTTAAGTTGAATTTAAACCCAATAACTCATCTCTGTCTGCCCGCCTAAATAAACTACACAAATGAATTTGTGTAGTACCATTAAATGGTACGGCACCAGGCCCTGTCGGAGCTCTGAGCCGATCGTGACATTTTCGGCTTTCCCATCCCAAGCTCAATTAGACACCTTCTCCCTCCCCACCCGATTGCTGATGTCAATTCAAATTCAATATCTCATCTGTCTTCCCGCCCATAACCCATTCATTGCACATCGTTCAGCGCTCGGCCCCGCCAGAAGTATCCTAGCGCGCTGAGCAGTTGCCTCCAGCCGCGTCATCGCGAGGCCCCGCGCGGCCCATAACTGAATACATTGCGCGAATAGCCGTGTCTCCCCCCTGATCCGACCTACCTGTTTCTTATAGGTATCTTGGGCACCGCCGCACCGACGATGCTGCAAAGCCGGCGATCATTGTGCGCAGTATTTGGCTTACTAGAGACTAACCGTTTCCACTGGGTAGTGGATGATGACATATTGCATAACGTAGTACGATAAAATAATTTGCTGCGTTAATTAACAAATACCGTAATTCAGTAACGTAGCAATATATAACGTATCGTAATTCGGTATCGTAGTTCTGGCCAAAAAAGCAAACGTAGCGTAACGTAGTGCGTAACGTAGCGTAGCGCAGGCCAACTCTGCATGCGAGGGAAATACCAACCTTTTACCGATTTCCCGGCCTCTTACACATAAGCGAGGGTTCAAAACAAGGCCCTATACTTATACCCAAGGGCCAAGGCTATATAAATTATAAACCCCTATACCGTTCAAAATGCCAACCGACAGGAATCGACAGGAAGTAGCACCAGAAAATCCGAAAATATTCGATTTTTTCAAATCGGACAATAAACGAAGATTTTACTGGGTATGGTCTACAAAAATTCGCCCACCAGTGTGTTCGTCTCATCGAGAGGAAGAAGCACATAAAAAATCAGAGGTCAAGGTCATAGGTCAAGGTCAAGGTTTAAAGTGACATTGCTATCTGTGAAAGTGACCCTGACTTTGACCTATGACCTTGACCTCGGATTTTTTTTTAAAATGTGTTACTGCTTATTGATGAGACGAACACAGTGGTGGCCGAAATTTTCAGTATCTCGAAAAACAGTGACGTACCCAAGGGGGGGCCACGGGGGCCAAGGCCCCCCCCCCTGAGCGCCGAAGGCGCTCAGGGGGCCCCTCAGGCCCCAGGATATTTTTTAAACACTGGATAAAACGTCTTTTACTCGGAAGAAAAATTGATATTAAAGTTTCATTTATGTGCCCTGGGTACCCGAGGGGCCCCTGCAGTCATCCAAGGGCCCCCAGTTTCCTGGGCCCCTGGTCGCCTAGGGGGCCTCTGCCCTCTGGTAGCCGGGGGCCTGGTCTCATGGGGGCCCCTGATAGCCTGTGCCCCCTAGTCGCCTAGGGGGCCCTGGTCGCATGAGGCCCCTGATCGACTGGGGGCCCCTAGTTGCCTAGGGGCCCTGATAGCCGGGGGCCTGGTCGTATGGGCCCCTGATAGTCTGTGGCCCCTAGTCGCCTAGGGGGCCCTAGTCGCATGGGGGGCCTCTGGTTGCATGATATTGAGGCCCCTGATCGCCTGGGGGTACCTAGTCGCCCAGGGGGCCCCTGGTAGCCGGGGGCCTGGTCGCATGGGGCCCCTGGTTGCCTGGGGCCCCCGGTCGCCCCTAGTCGCCTGGGGGACCCTGGTAGCCTGGGATCCCCTGGTCGCCTGGGGGCCCCTGATCGCCTGAGGGCCGCTGGTCACCTAGAGGGCCCCTGGTCGCCTGGGGGCCCCTGGTCGCCTGGGAGCCCCTGGTAGCCGGGGGCCTGGTCGCATGGGGCCCCCTGGTCGCATGGGGCCCCCTGGTCGCATGGGGCCCCCTGGTCGCATGGGGCCCCCTGGTCGCCTGGGGGCCCCTGATCGCTTTGGGGACCTGATCGCATTGGCCCTTGGTCGCCTGGAGGGCCCTGGTCGCCTGGGGCAGTGGAACCCTAGTCATCTGGAGGACCTGGTCGCCTGGGAACCCCTGGTCGACTGGGGGCCCCTGGTCGTCTGAAAGTACGCTTATCACCTGATTGATCCCAAATCATCTGAGTGGCTACTGGCTACTGGATATAAGTAGTGACTGGAGTAGGCACTCATCTGAAGGAGCCAATATCTTTCACGGTGCCGGAGATATCACAGAAAAACAAAAAGGCTAAACTGAATACCCCCCAACCTTGGCCCCAAAGGCGTCATTGGCTAACACAGGGATGTGGGTCGATTTGCAATCGCATTTCCTCCTAAGTCCTATTCCTCCAATTAATACAGAGTGTCCCAGAATTACCCAAGCATTTATTTTCTGGCTAAAAGTACAATTGCGCTCGTTTCCTAGTGAAACATATAATAGCCGCGTTTACATAGGACTAGTTGCAAGATAGTGGAATTCCGATAACGAGACATTTATTCCCCACTATTATATTATATACCTACATATCCGGCATTGGAGGATGTTCAGTAATTGAGGCGCTCGCTCATAAAATGCCGTGCGTTTCATGCACACTCCTCAAGCAAAAATATTTTTACTTTCCAATTTTCCACATTTTCTCAAGGCTTAGACCGTTACAGAGACCGTTTTAACTGACTTTGATGAAGTTGAACGCGAGAAATCACAACCAAATGCTACATTAGGTTGTAAAGAACTGAATTGCGTTTTCCCACACACGTGGCGTTTTCTCACCTACGTCTGCAGGAGAGACACCTACGTCTACGTCTGACAGAGAGAGGGGAAGAGAGAAACCAGGCAGACTAATCATAACTAGCTGGTAGATACATACTCATAGCAAAAGTTGAAAAGGTACAGTCCAAATTATTCATGTATAGCATTTTTACAAACGCACACATAGCCACCAGTGGTGGAGTGGCAGAATGAGAAGCAGGGCCGAGGGCTCCTCCTTTCCATCCATAACGCCACACTGCACGGATAATATTTATGCAACCACGCCTAAAAGACATTTAATATCACTGATGTTATTTCTGAGAATAATTTGGAGCAAGTATCGCTTGTACTTACCAACAAGACGTCAGACGCAGCACAGACACGAGCTCCCTGGATCGCACGAAGATGGCGACTGAGGCCCACGCGGCGCTGCATTTGGCGCGAAACTGAACCGAGTAAGTTAACAACCCACAGTGTTAATATCTCTCAAGATCGCAGCTCAAATAACCTCATTCTGCTTTTTAAACTCGACGCAGAGGGGTAAAACACGCCAACGTGTCATTCAACACGGTATAACCGTGCGCAAAGATGCTTCCACAAAATCGTATTCGTGTTTCGGAACACAGTGTCCGCCAAATGCAGGTATGAATACATGGCGATTACTCGAAAGGTGTCATTGTACATGGGGATTCCGAGCTAAGTTCATCCTGATTTGGACCAACCGTGTTTTGCTTCGCAATAAGGTTTAAATTACTCGATAAATACGGATTCATTAGCAAGGTAGCTTGTTTGAACACATCATTAAAGTGAGTCAGAAAACTCAAACTGTGCTAACATTTTTTACAGTGTATGCCCCCCCCCCCCCCCACCATCGAAAGGTTCTTTATGACTCCCGGGGGCCCCCGGGGAACCTGGGGGCCCTATACACTGTGGGGGCCCCTTCGAAAGCAGGTGGCCCCCTCCTGGGCGAAATCCTGGGTACGTGCCTGTCGAAAAATGAAGATTTTTTATGGTACGGCCACTTTAAAAGTGACCTTGACCTCGGATTTTTTTAATGTGCTACTTCCTGTCGATGAGACAAACACAGTGGTGGGCGAATTTTTGAAATCGGACCATAAACGAAGATTCTACGGGGTACGCAGTATTTTGACCTCTCAATGTCAAACGGTTCCCCTCCCATTCAAAATTCCTATGTGCGCGCCTGCCTTAGTTCGAGCTGAAACTTCCACACAATGTAGCAAGGCCATCCAATGTAGGCCGTGACATGTCCATTCCACATTCCGACTGAGCCGTTCAGTGGCACTCCCAGCCGTTTGACCTAGAGGTCAGCAAAAGTCACGTGGCCCAAATTTGCAGATTGTGGCTCACCCAATTGGAGCTGGAGTATGCCGTGCCCAGGTAGGTATACCGTGTGGTTTATTGATTAGCTCAGTTATAATTTCCGACAAGTCGTCTATCCCTGTGGTGTTGTATGCATAGGTAAATACGAGCTACGACTTACGAGTCTGGGAACTAAGAGCCAGGAAGAAATAATTTTGAATAAAGTTAGTTAATCCTCTGTGAAATCAATGTGCGCTAACCATCTTTCTCAGCAATTCAGCTAGCAATTTTCGTGCTGTGCTCAAGGAGAAGATTACAGTGAGGGTCGAACTTAGAAAAAAACGAACTATAACAGTTGTTGAATTTTCCTTTTATCTTAAAAAAACTATCTTCGTCAATTTCGGGCCTACGGGAACAGTTGCTCCGAATGCCCCCTCCCCCTGGACTCGCCAGTGTTCAGGCACCGCAAATCCGCCGCTTCAGCACGCTGGCTTGGCTTTGGGGCCGCAGTAGAGCCGCGTGGGTCAATGTCACCCGCGTCAAGGTCTTGTCTGCCTTCAGTCGAAAAGCTTCATATGCGTGCCGCACGGTGCGCAATCGTTACTATATTCTGGTCAGCCACCCAAGGGTGCATTGAATCTTGTCGAGTCACCGAGTCGGAAATCTAAATGCTGTTGTAGTGCTCACTTTGGATTCTCTACTCTACCAGCTCGTGGATATGTCGATAAAGATATAGTTTATTGACAACTTTTTTTACACAACACAGTCCGAAGCACGTCACATCAATATCTACAAATTTTAGCACCCCAATCAATCAAAGTCATCTTCCTCCATTTTAATTTTCCTGGGGTGATCTGTCTTCCGTTTTCGAACGGTCAGGTCCAGTCCCTCTGTGTCGGACCCGGAGGCCGACTCCTTCTCCAGCTCACGCTTCAGAATGGGGCAGTCTGCGGGCGGAGGCGCCGCGGCCGGCTGATCACGGCACTGATAGCGCGCCAGCAGCTCCCGACAGAGGTCCTCCGGCACGGGGATGGGCAGCGGCACCGGCACCGGCACCGGCACGGCCACCGGCACCGGCAGCATCACCGTCACCGGCGGCAGGCCGAGCGGCAGCGGCGGAGGGGGCGGCGGCGCGGCGGCGGCCGGCGCGCCCGGCCGCAGCAAGTGGTAGCGCTGCCACAGCGCCGCAGGCGGGCCGGTCGCCGGCGGACAGGGGGCGCCCGCCGCCGCCGCTGGCGCCGCCGCCGGCGGGCCGACCGCAGCAGCCGGCGCCATGCCGGCGGGGGGTGGCGGCGGCGGCGGGGGCTGCCGGGAGGGCGCCGACGGCCTCCTGCGGGCCCGCTCGCGCAGCTCCAGCACGGGCATGGTGTGACTGCGGGCGCGTACCCCGCGCGGCGGCGGCCGCTGCGGGTCGGGCCGAGCGCGTCGCACTCGGCGCCGGTCGCTGGCCGCCGCCGCGGCGCTGCCCTCGTCGCCGGTCGGGGGCGCTGGCTCGGCGGCGGGCGCGGCGGCGCCACTGGGCGGCCGGTCGCGCAGCCACATCTCGGGAGTGATGAGCGGGTCCTTGGAGGAGCGCGACACCAGCTCCCGCAGCTGGGGCAGCATCTGGATGTGCGCCTCCGTCTCCTTGCAGAATATGTTCATCTTGTAGGCGTTTAAACAGCTCTCACTGAAAAAAGTAACGTACCACTGAAAATCGAGTGGAAATGGATATGCTGAGCATATGGGCTAGAAGACCAATCAGTTTCAAATAGCAAGAGAAGATGATCTCCATATGGCACATGGGTGGAGCCTAGATGAATACTTGAAAAGAAAATATTTTAAGAAGTTGTTGACTTCCTCGAAAAATGAAAGAAACTTCTTAGCAGTAGCACAGTAAGCAGCGGAACACGTTCAGTTAAGGGGGGGGGGCACTGCCGACTTTTGGTCCCATTCCTTCCATGCAACGCCCATAGGGCTAATGTTAAAATGTCAAAGTCAAAGGGGGGCACGGTGCCCCGGTGCCCTCCCCGTTCCACTGCCTATGTCTTGGCACGCCTACGACAAGGACAGCTCTACGGCCGTTGTACGTTGCGGGGTGGTTGGGAAGAAAAAAGTATCGAATGTGAAGCATCGGCATCATTGTGTTCTGGCTGATTTCTTCAGGTGGCAGCACCCTCCTCCCACTGAGCTGATTTGATCAGTCATTGAGCGCGATCCCTCTCAGATATGCGCGACGCATGATGTAACATACACTTTATACAAACACGATGTCCGGTCCTTACCTGCAGAATTGGAGCTGCTGATCCCCGTTGATAAATTCGATGTTTAGTGAGTCTCGAATGTTCTTGCACCAATCGCAGAGCTTTGTCTTCCGGAAATTGGCCACTCTGGAACACAGTTTCAAAAACCGTTAATATGTAGGGGAAATTCACAACACTATGCCAACAGGGCTTCGTTGGTGACGGTTTGACGATATTATGCATGCGAGTTGGGTGGGAGCCGCGCCTCGTACCGCCACCTGCCAGCTGCCCACACAATACACATCGATAATTAGACAGTATTAGGCGAGTGACAGTGGCCGAGTTACACCTCAGGCAAGTTCAACGACAGGCCTGAATGAGCCACCGTGCTGCATTCTTCTCGGACAGCTGTACTTGCTGAACAAGGGTACTGCGCATTACTTGCATGGCATTTGAACACAGTTATTCACGCTACAGACCACACCACGCCTGGGATCTAAAAACTTGACCTAATGAGCTCATGTATCTTTCCCTGATAGAATAGCGTGCGGGATCAAATTTAAGATAGGTCGGATACGTGACACCACATGTGGCATTTGAAGCTCCATAGGTCGGCCAGTGGCCACACGATTCAGACGTGACCCCTGCTGACCTCGAGGTTGAGTCCGTGACCCCTACTGACCTTGACTGACTGAAGCACGGCTCTGAACAGAAGGCCTTCGAGCCCATAGTGTAGAGCTGAGCACCGAGTTTATTGCACCAGGAGCACACCACCGGGGTCCGCTTACAGCCACCGTCTGCCGGCACGGAACGGGGCGACACGGGTCAGGTCACGGGATCGAGTACGCGGGGTCAGGTCACAGGACCGAAAACACGGGGCCATGTCAGTGCACCAAAACACACAGAATCATGTCACATAACATCAGAACATGCACGATCATTTAACTCCGCTAGAACGACTCGCATGCCCAACCTAGTCTCCGCACGCCATCCTCGTCTCCGTGTCAGACCTATGGTGCCGGGACGTATCGGCCGCGGGGGTGCGCTCACTGATAGTGTAGCGGTGCGCCCTGCGGCCGCCCCCGCCGGGTCAGCCGGCGCCCCCGGCACTGTGACGCACGCGACGGCAGCCTCTGGTCGCCAGCGACACTGGAGACGGCCGCTCGGATCACAGGCGGATCGCCCGCCGACCGGGCTGCCCGGCATAATCAGCCTCATCGACCAGGCCGGCGGCGCGGCGGCCGGGCCGGCTCCAAATGAGGGTAACGGGAGCCGGCGCCGCTACCTGGCCGGCTCCGGTGGCCGGCCCCCTCTCACGGCACCAAATGGACGCGCGAAACGTGATAGGCTGAGCGGCGCCGGCGGCCCTAGCCGGCCTACAGCGGCGCAGCGGGCTCGTCGGAGGACCGAGTCGCACAGACAGGTAGGTAGATACCTACTGCCGTACTGAGCGGGGGAGGGCACTTCCAATCCCATCCATAATCACACATTGCACACTGCACACTGATGGTGTCGGTAGTGGTGCGTCATTTATGGCAATGGGTATCGGAATTCGCATGATCCAAGGAAATCCAATGACGTGCGTGAAGTTGAATGGAGACTTTCCCCTACACGGCAGCGCCAGCGTTTCACACGCAGTCTCCCATTCCTCCCGCTAGATGGCGTCACTAGTCGGCGCCTGAAACTATGCTGTACCGCACGGCACCCGCGGCGAGCGCCTGAATGTATGTTGAACCGCAGAGCACCCACAAGCGGCGGAAAAGGCCCGTGAAAAAACTAACGTCCCGCCGCGCAGGCTGCCCCCAACCAAACCCAGACCAGCGACCAACGGGACAGATCCCCATTAAAACGAACATTCTGATTCATAGACGCTTTTGAGGTTCGCAAATGGATCTCCCGTCAGAAAAAAAGCTAGGCACTTCAACGACAGCCAAGTACCTATGTATGTAAGTAATACTACATAAGTGTACCTACATTTCTAATTTCGCTAGCTGTTTTTCACCGTCATGCTAACAGAGTTTAATAGATGTTACGAAACTGTTCAATTACTACTTTCATCCCTTGACCTTCGAATGTCACGAATGTTTCGCTGTATAAAGAATGTGTCGCCGTATAACGAATATGTCACCGTATAACGAATATGTAAAGGTCAAAAGAATGTGTCGCCGTAAAAAGAATGTGTCATCGTATAACGAATATTTTGCCGTACCTATAACGGACATTAGCCGTTTTCACGACGGGCTATCCGGCAAATGCACCTGATTTGACCAAATCTGCACCTCATCTCTTTTACAGCAAATATCTTCATTTTATGAATTTATTTCAGTGTTTTAATCGATGATGCTCTCTGATATTATGACAAAGCAGGCATATAAGCAATTAGTGCAACCCTAGCTGATAGCTGCTAAGAGACACACTGAACCTGATTTGACCAAATCTGCACCTAATCTGTACCAGACGTGCACCAAATGTGTACCAGATGGCCGTCGTGAAAACGGCTATTACCCACTTATGTGCCGCCGTATGAGTGTTTCGCCGTGTAACGAATATGTCACCGCATAACAAATGCGTCGCGGTATGACTGATATTGCTTATATGTTGTCGTATAGCGAACGTGTCGCCCACAAGAATGTTTCGCTGTATAACGGATGTTTTGCCGTATAAAGAATGTGTCTCGGTATATTATGTCATGTGACGTGAACAACGAGAGCGGTCTGTTCTGATCTGTAGCACACCTCTGTTTATAATCTAGCTGACACTAAAAGACATTTTATCCACTTTTCCATTATTTTCAGCTGCACTAGATGGAACACGTCATATTCTAACAACAAATACTTCACATCGGCCACAATACGAGAAGAACGCAAGCACAAAAGCCTGTAAGAAAACAGTTAACTTAACAAACAACATTGTAAACCAATCATGGACAAGGAGCTTGTCATCATCGGATGCTTTTCAAAGACTGTTGATTCGTATAGGAATCGTGATAATAAAAATAACGAAACTGAACCCAGGTGCATACGGTACTCTCGTACATGGAGACTAGTGGTTATCATCGAAATGGTGTCTATAATTATATTGAACATCAATGTCTCGTTTTGTTCCCATAGGAAAAAACATTCATGGCCGAGGCTGAATAAAACGAACTATACTATCGAATTGAATAAATTGAACTAAACGAAGTCCGGCGACACAAGGGTCAAAGGGTACCACTGCGAGCCGCCTAACGACCGCCTCAAACCGGCCGGCAGCTGGAAACTGAGCTGGAAGGCGGAATGACGTAACCAGCTCGTATTACTTTAAGTTTGCTATAAACCCTGATAACGGCTACTGTGAAAACAACCATGAAGTAACAAACGTTGCGGTAGGTCTTGGTGGAAACGGTCTCGTATGACTCGTTTGGGCATTAAAATGCCCAACAGTCGGGAAGATGAAAAATGAAACATGAGAAAGGTTGCACGAAGGAAGGCTCACCGTATCTCAAATAACTTTTCCTTTGATGTATGTCTTGATAAAATCCGAGCAAACAATCATGAAGCGGCATACGTTGTCGTAGGCCTTGATGTGAGCAGTCTCATATAACTGCTTTATCCCGCGCCCCACTGGGGGGGGGGGGGGCTATTTATAGCCCCCCCCTCCCGTTTTTCTGCAATAACTTCCAAACCGCTTGACGTATCGACGCCAAACTTTCAGTACCTTAGGCTGCATCAATTTGACACCTTGTGTCAAAATTTGAACTTCGTACCTACTATAGGTCGGCCGTAAATGACGTCAGAGTGACGTCATGTTCGGCCGATTTCGACGCAAAACATTGAACCACGGCAATCGCTCCCAAGAGCTCAGTTTTTAAGCTAGATCCAATTTCTTTGCATGAGAGGACTCAGAATAGACTGCGCTATCAAAACTGCTATCTCGGATTTTCGAAATTTTAAAAAATTTGAAAATTTAATATAATAATATCCAAAATTTATATTTTTACATTTTTTCAAAAAGTTTTGACTTTTCGAAAAAAAAACGGAATATATATGATAGAACGCAATATTATGACTAACTCTAGCAAGTTTTAGCTAAATATCTTCAAAAATGGCCAAGTTTTACGCATTATTGCAAAAAATTCACAATTATTAATTTTTCATATCAATTTTTCGGCACGTATTTGACATCGTACGCCAATATAAATAGCACCATCGTGTTCTTGAGCTCAAACTGCATCCAATAGATACCTTTTTTGTTGAAAAATTTTAACTTCAAAATTTGACCTTTTTTGACCTGAAAGTGACCTAACATAAGCTAAATCGACTCAAAATGACCTCGAATGACACAGACGACATCAAATTCGAAATCTCTGACCCAAATGGACCATAAAACATGTGTCACGTGACCGACGCATGATATAATATTTTCGTGACCTGTGATGACCTGACCTTGACCTGAAAATCAAAGTACAAGTTTGGTACCCTCAGGGTAACTAGAGCATCTGTTCCCGAGTGTGTGATCCAAAAATGAGCCTGATCTGACTTGTAAGACGGCGGCCAGAGCCCAAAACGTGAACAAGCCAAAATGCTAATAATTTTTACTTTGACCTGACCTGTGACGTCATCGGTGACCTCGAGATCAATGCAATTAGGTTTCGCTCGACAGTTTTTCCGGGGCTATCAGACGCCGTTTGAATTTTGACGATCGGCCCAGTAGTTTCGGAGTTAGGAGGGGGGGGGGCTATGAATAGCCCCCCCCCCCCCCCAGTAGGGCGTGTTATACGCAGACCCCAGTGGGGCGCGGGTTATTTATTGGAGATAATGAAATATTGCTCATGCCATTACGGCGCACAACTTTCCTCTCCTGGTAACCTGACATCGGGAAACATCAGGCATCGAAATTGATTTTTTTTTCAAGTAGCTTTTTCCAATTATATGCACGTCAAACAAGTTCCGATGTCCATTGTCGGGATTGCACTTTACGTGCGCTCATCAACTTGAACTTTTGGACGAGTTATAATCTGTTTAGTCAGAAAGATCAGAAAGGCGCCCATATCTAATTACAAAGTCAAGCGTAAAAAGTGAAATGGTCACAATAGGTCACAGTGCTATCGCCGTGTTACGATCATGCCGGTCCCAGTTGCGTCTGACGCCTGGTGTGCCCTGTGTGTCCCGTGCGCAGCGGACGGGTGTGTGGGTGTCGGCTACCCCGCGGAGCGGTGTCTCACCGTTGGCCAGCGCGGCCGTGACCGGGGAGACGGGCCGCGGGGACACGGAGCCGTCCGTCAGCGGTGACGAGGGTCGGCTGAGGCGCCCCGCCGCCGAGCCCTCGGCCGGCGGCGGCGAGTGACGGCGCGGCGGCGGCGAGTCGCGCCGCTCGTACCCGTACCAGCTGAGCATCTCCTTCATCGCCGTCTCGGCAAACTCCTGCCGCAGGGGAGCGGGGCGGGGTCAGAACGGGGGCAGCGGGGCGGGACGGGCGGCAGTTTAGAGCGGGAGCAGCAGCAGAGTGAAATGTGGTTGGAACATTTAGCAGTAGGGGAAGGGGCCTCTGTCAGAAATAAAGGAATGGAATGGCGGAGTGGGACAAAGTTAGGGCGGGGAGTAGCAGAACTGGCTGCCTCATCAGGGCGGGGGACAGAACAGAACGGGGTTTCGTTAGTCGGGGTAGCGGCTCCACGAGGGATGCACATCAAAACACACTACACACAGCACACAATATACAACCAACCAAACAGGCGGGGGAGTGGAAATGAAATGTCTCAGCCCAGGGCTGCGGTCGTCCAGCGGCAGTGGCCGTGACGTTAGCGTCGGACACAACCACCGTGTGCCGGCACACCTTCCAGTCGGTAATTAATCATCCGCCGTAAACAGAGCAGTCCAGAGGTGCCGGCCGGGCGGCTGGGTAAACACACCGGCCCACTGCCGCGCCGGGCGGCACGGTGCAGCCCGCGGCCATGAGGCCGACCGAGCCAAGGCCCGGCAGCGCGCACTCCAGGCGCGGTCCCTCAGAGAGAGGCGGCTCGGTGGAAGTGCCGGGGGGACTGGCCCCGTGCTTTGGCGGGGTGCAGCACACCGGAGGGCCATGCTAATAAGCTATGATGTGAGTGCCACAACGGGAGACTGGACCCGTCTTTGACCAAGTAACAAAGAGTAGATGCCAGGCAGCGCGTCACACGGGTGTACGCTGAACGTCGACAAAGCTCCACGGCTGACATCAGAGCTCCATCACCACGCCCTGCCCTCGCCGGCGGCGGAGCTCGGCAGCCGGCAGTCCGCCAGCAGTCCGCCGTGCCGACTCAGTCCGCAATACATTACCGAGGATCGACCCGCGCTTCGAGCGGCTTGCGTTTCGCGAGATTCGCGGTGTGCGTTACAAAACAACGTAACCGTATCGGCCGTCTATTTATACGGGGCCCAAGTTAAACAGCTGGCGGTGTCGAGTTGCGCCATTCGGGCGACACCGGAGCCGCGGAGGCGGTCCCGGCTCGCGTTACAGACAGTCCATTGGGAGCGCGCTGCCGCCGGCGCCGTGCGCGCATCTCGCCGAGCTGCGGTTCCGGCGGCGGCCGCCAGGCGGCGGGCCGGTCGGGCCGTCACTGGAGAGGGCGGGGTCTGGTTCGTCGGGCCGGCTCAGGTGCCGCGCGCCGGGCCCGCCGCGGCCGGTGTCCTGTGACCGAGCCGAGGAAATGAGCCAGCAGCGGCCGCGCATACCGCCGACGAGCGACCGGTAGGGACCTGACCCGAGTCCGTACCGTAGCTCCATCCGTCCGGCGGCACCGCGTGCAGCTCACGTGATCGTGACCGCGCGGCTTACACGCCAAACACAGTCACGATGTGCTGGTAATGACTGATGACAATCATCACGAGCGGCAAGAATCGTCTCCGAATCGCGGCAAAACTCTTGCAGTATGTGGCGAGCTAACGGAAACGTATTCCGGTTCCGAAAACAAGGACAGTTTTAGATAACCGTATAACATACGTGACAAAGCGATCACGAGATAACGTCCCGGTCATTGATTGCTGCCAAGCTTCTGGCCGCATCACCTGCTGCAAGCCGGACCCTCAAAGTTGCGCCCACCGGCTACTCCACGCTCGTGAGTTCCGAATCCGGAAGGCGGATTTCACGACGGCCGTCAACAAAAAACAAACACTGGGAGCAGCGGCGGGTGACACAGTATGTGCTGCTCATCTGGAGGCTCGCGCTCCGTGTGAGTCACGGGGTGGAATTTCGGCAGGTTCGGAGGAGCGGCCACCGCGCCGAGTGTTTACCGCGAGCTGAGAGCCGAGTGGAGCACAGTGCCACGTCCACCGCCGTGAATCAAAGGACGGACCCGGCCAGATAGCGCAGCCGTTCGTTAAATAAATAACTAATAAAGTTACGATGTTTTCATCAGGGCACGACTTTTCACGCATGCCTGCACCAGCATGATTCTCAAGTAACAGAGAACAGAGATACTGGATTTCAATATGACAAAGCAAACAAGTTAATAACCGTTTTCACGACGGGCTATCCGGCGAATGCACCTAATTTGACCAAATCTGTACCTAATCTCTTTTACAGCAAATATCTTCATTTTATGAATTTATTTCAGTGTTTTAATCGATGACGCTCTCTGATAATATGACAAAGTAGGCATATAAGCAGTAAGTGCAACCCTAGCTGATAGCTACTAAGAGACACAATGAACCTAATTTGACCAAATCTGCACCTAATCTGCACCAGATGTGCACCAAATGTGTACCAGATGGCCGTCGTGAGAACGGCTAATGTCTACCATTTACAGTCATCTTTCGAAGAAGCAGAGCAGGTTTTGCGCCTTAGTGTGACTATCGTTTAATTTCCATTACCTACATCCTAAGCACTCATAGGCATGTGACTCATATGGAGACGGCAGCACTGCTAAACCGTTCTCAACAACTAGGTATTGGCGTGGTTGTAGCGCATCAAATGTTCTCCTTCCAGTAGTGGCGGAACACGTTCAATTAAGGGGGGGGGGGGAGGGCACTGCCGACTTTTGGTCCCATTCTTTCCATGCAACGCCCATAAGGCTAATGTTAAAATGCCAAAATCAAAGGGGGCAGGCCATGAAAATGACCTGCCCTCATATGACCGTAACAAAAAATCGAGATAGGTATAGGCACAAATTGGTAACACTGGTCAATGGTTATTGACGGTAATCTGCAACGTCTAAAACGTCATGAACTGAGCTGTAGGAGGGAGATCGAACACTTTTGTACGAGAGGCTACGCAACATGTGTTGACATGAGCTCATCTGAAGTGACCCAGACCAAAAAAAAACAGCATGTTATTGGGTCTCGCAATACTATGCGCCGCGTTTTCCTACCTATATCGCGCAACCGGGTTAAAATACCGGAATATCCACGAGTCTATAAGAGAGCAGTAGCTATGTGACGCCCATACGGTCCATGAACGTTAAAAGGAACTCGACGTCTTAGGAAGGCAGCAGTACAAACGATGCAGCTACAACTTACACCGACCTGTATATGTGACGGTCCGTCACCGTCCGACGGTGGATGGAGGGGCAGGTCCCTGACCCCTGACCGGTCACACCCGGGTCAGTGGGGCACTGTATGGCGGTGCGCTCCCAGCAGTGGCGGCTCGCCCCGGGACAGCACCGGGCCCGCCCTCAGTGCACCGACAGCTCGTCCCGTGGACAGACACCGTCGGCCGCCGCCGCAGGTCCGCCCGACGCGGCCGACTGGGCCCGGGGGCCGGTCCGCCAGGCCGCAGCGGCGGGTCGCTGCGCGCGCGGCCGTCACGGCGTCAACAGCACGGCGCCGCCGCGCCGGCCGCCGGCGCGACACCAGAGCTCGCCGGTAAATACGTGTCGGCTCCGGTTACGTCTTGTTTTTCAGCCGGCGGCCGGAGGAGCGCGGCCGCTGCCAGTCCTGTCCGACACCCTGCCATCTCCACCCGACACCGCCCGGTGTCGGCTGGTCCGACACCGCCGGGCTCATCTGACTGACACCGCCGGGCTCATCTGACGGACACCGCGGGCTCATCTGACACTGCGCATCTCCGCCCGACACACCGTCAGCCTCAGCCGACACACTGTCACTCGTCACTCGTCAGCCGACACACGGGCGACGCCAGCCGACACACTGTCTATCAGCCTCCGCCCGACACACCGCCGGCCTCAGCTGACACACTCAGCCGACACACCGACGGCGTCATATGACACGGCGAGATCCCATATGGTCGCTGAAACTGGAAGGCATACGACCCCATGCGTGCCGCCCCCGTCACTTTGAAAGAAACAAAGTCAACGAAAAAATGCAAATTTTCTTTGTCGAGTATCATTACTCGTATATGAAATAATCTTTCAGAAACTGATGACAAAACACCCGAATAATGGGAAAATATTGCAACTCTTCTCATATCCATTCCGCATAGTCATCTGTAGGCATCTGATCCGACACGGTGATGGCACCCTGAGACCTTGCCACTCAGTCTCGAATACCGACGCGGTGCAGCCGGATTCACTTCGAGGACCGTTCAGCTCCATCGGTCACAGCCCCCCTAATCCTTGGTAATATCTCCGTCCCCCACTCAGCTAGCCAGGCGCCATCAAACCCTCTATCAGATGTGAGATGTACCTATAGTAGGTACAACACTCGCCGTACGACACTGAGCCGCACGGCACTGCACTGTACGACAAGACACTGAGCCGTATACTTCGCCAAACAATGGTCGTCATTCGTGACGACCATTGTTTGGCGATTTCGTTTTGTCATCATCATTCGTGTTTCTCAAGCTCAGGTGCGTCGAATGATATGCCTAATTTTTATTCGGGTGAGGTCAACTTACGGTTTTGACCTCGGGTCAAGGTCATGTCAGAGCCACTCAGGTCACGAAGTTGGTAGAATGAGATGACATCGCACATCATTAGATTCGGCAGTTCTTCCCGAGTCCAGTGACTTTCTCGACTCGCTAACTCATTTGATCGGGAGCAATTGAGTTAAAACTCTGGTGACGTCATAAATAACGTCACGCGAGGTCAACGATGCAAAAAAGAGGCATCGGATCTAGCAAAGAAAATCGTGAAATCGCGATGAAATGTGCTTCAGGTAGTTTCAGATCATTCTCGGCGCTAAAATAGTTTCCATATTTCCCCTGCTTTGGTCACGGTGAGGTCACGTGACCGACCTGACCTCAGATGACCCTCAAGAAAAATCCCAGATACAAAACTTGTGAGGCCTCTGGAGGATATAAGGTCTTGTAAGTTTCATCGCCCTGTGAAAACTCCTCTGGCACTCAGGCGTTGCGAAGTTACGACATTTCAGGACCGTACATACTGCAGAGGTTCACTTATGGCGTCATAGATCAGTGGCCTGGTCCTGACCTGACCCGAAAATGAGGTTGGTGTCACAAGATCCGGCTTGAATTAAAGGTTAAGTGTGCC